CACTGTGTGGCAGGTACCGACTGATACTCCCACCATTTGTGATAAAACACGTACAGAAGTTCTTGGCGCATTTTCCATTATTTGTTGGACATTTTCTTTTAATTCTTCAGTCCGCTTTTTAGGTCGGCCGCTTCCTTCTTTTCTTGTTACACTGCCCGTTTCACGAAAAACATTAACACAACGCTGAACTGCACTTTGAAAAATTTTGTACTCAACAACGCCGGGAAATTGATTTTGAAATTCTATGAAACATTCCTCAATAGAATACTTCCATATTCCATCAATCTTGCGTCCATTTCTAAAGTAGGACTCTATGATAAACACTTTTTGTTCTTGAGAAAACACCATTTTAAACGCTTTTTAAAACGAAAATATTCAAATTGATAGCGGCGATATAGCGCTTTGACAGATGACGTTTAAGTTCATTTGCTATACGCTACGCCCTACGTCCAAATTTTCAGAACCAACTTGACCACGTTTTTATTTGAACGCTCGTTATATTCACGGCCGTTGCGCTTCATACGTGACGTCACTGCAGAAGTGCCAGAAATATTCCTCGGTAAAGCAATACGGATTGGTGTATTGAGAGCTAAGTGAAATAAATGCCAAATGTATATCGACCCACGGTTATAGTAAGTACATAATGGAGATTTAGTTGTGAACAAAAGAATACTGTGAGATATTTAATTAGATCTTTGAATTCGAGTTAGAAATATACGTCTTGAGAGGCTTCCTGTGTCAAAGAAGTTGACAATTTTAGGTGGGGACAAAGTTGCATAATCAGGGGACCAACATTATGCCTCTAAAAAAATCAAGGCTAATTAGTTTTCGAAATATTTGAAAAAATCCGAAATTTTGGAAATCCGTTTTTGTTTCATTTCGACCTTGTTTGAGGTGATATTGAAAAAAGAAGAACACCTTCTCCGGTCAACTCTTTGCCCTCTATCGAATGGCATAATAAATTTTTAAATGTAACGTTTCATCTCTCCACGACCATTATCAATTTAATTTTTTTAAATACGGCCCTAGAAATTTAATTACAATTTTTGCAAGACTTCATGACCCCCCAATACTGTACTGCCTCAGCCGAACCAGTATATCTTCCAAATTTATCAATTTTTCTTTATATTTCTATGTTTATTGAAATATTGTACGCTCTAATGCGGCGGCCACACGACAGCGACTTGCCTGCACGGTATGGTTTGCGCAATAAACACGGAATACTGTGTTGTGGCCACACGATGCAGGTAAGACCGTGCAGGCTGCAGACACTGCAGGCAGCAATCAGTATGTTTCTCAGGAATAAGTATCCAAGCGAAGAATTTTTGGTATTATACTGAATTACTAGGATTGGTGATCCCTTCATAAACCGACAAAATACTGTAATGCGCGAATCTATGTACATATGTACAGTGTGTTTCACTTAAAGTCGGGACACCTCCGTATTTAGGAAAAAGGCCTACTTTTTGATATTATATTTTTTGACATGTGATCTTTTCTACGGCCTACTATCATTAAGAAAAGACCCTCAAAAATTAAAAAACATATTAGGCATTTTTTTAAGAAAGAAATGGATAGCATTTTCGATTTGATCACACCTCAAAACTCTAAATACAAAATTTCATTATTATAGCTTTTACAGGGTGTTCACAAAATAGGTGCAAACTTCGAAAAATTCCACGTATTGCAGAGTGTCCTGTATTAAGAGTGGAAAATATTTTCAAGATATTTTTCATAATTTTATTAACCGAAAGTATATCCATGCAGTTTCATTGATTTCACTCATACAGGGTGCTCACAATAGGACAAGCAAATTATATATATTTTTTATTATACCAGAAATGAGTTTCACAACAAAATAATATTTAAATATTACTGTTTTCTGTTAGTCCACATAATTTGGTATGCACTGTTCAATTCGTCTCATCTTATTTCTAATAACTCTCCTCAACTGATGTGGTGTTATTTGTCGACATGTTTGTCTATTACATAAAAATCAAGTGGCGTCAAGTCTGGAGCTCTTGACGGCCACTCAGCTAACGGACTGTTGCGACCTATCCACTTTCTCGGGAAATACTCATTCAACCAATGACGTACCTACTATTACCGCATTATGAATAAGTGCTCCATATAATTGAAGGTAGAGGTTCTGTCTTACATGAAGAGGAAATACATGTACTGAATCCCAGAAATCATTATTTAAAAAATTCATAAAAATCTCGCGTTTAGATTAACGCAAAAAAAGAAGGGCCTAATTATTTGATCACATAAAATCCTGCAAAACACGTTAAATTTTTAATTAAGATTTATGTAATATAATTAGACAAGCATGTCGACAAATAACACTACATCAGTTGAGAAAAGTTATTAAAAATAAGAGGAGACGAATTGAAGAGTGCATGATGGACTAATAGAAAATAGTAATACATATTTAAATATTATTTCGTTGTGAAACTCATTTCTGGTATAATAAAAAATATATATAATTTGGCTGTCCTATTGTGAGCACCCTGTATGAGTGAAATCAATGAAACTGCATGGATATACCTTCGGTTAATAAAATTATGAAAAAATACCTTGAAAATATTTTTCACGGTTAATAGAGGACAATTTGCAATAAATGAAATGTTTCGAAGTTTGCACCTATTTTGTGAACACCCTGTAAAAGCTACAATAATAAAACTTTGTATTTAGGGTTTTGAGGTGTGATCAAATCGAAAATGCTATCCATTCTTTCTTAAAAATGCCTAATATGTTTTTTAATTTTTGAGGGTCTTTTCTTAATGATAGTAGGCCGTAGAAAAGATCACATGTCAAAAAATATAATATTAAAAATTAGGCCTTTGTGAGTACTACATAAAAAAAAGAATTTTGAAAATCGGCCAACGCTATCCTAAATACGGAGGTGTCCCGACTTTAAGTGAAACACACTGTATATATCTCCTCGTGAAAGATTGAGTTGGTACTCTCAGATATTTGGCTACAGGGAGATCATATAGAGATTTAAGGTTTACTGTCGCAATTTCTCTTAACTGAACACCGTGCGCCGTCCACACGCTCAAATTTTACCGTGCAAACCGAATTTGCACAAAAAAAATCTTCAGCAAGTCGAAGTTTACGCAAGCCGCGCTTTTCAGTTTGTGCGAGATAACGTTTTGCCGGCCACGGGCTTCCCGATACAAACTGGTTTGTGCAGGCAAGCGCGCGGTAAAGCCTGTATGTGTGGCCGGCCCATAAGTGTTGTGAAACCCTGTGAAATCCACCTAGTTATTTAAACTATTACCATCATACGTTACAATAAAACATTATTTTAGAGTTTTAATCTCCATCACCTGGTCATACATAATTCGATAAGTTGTTGCGCGGAAATTAAAACATTATTACAATTTTAATTTCATTATGACAAATTAATTTTTAAAAACGCATATGAATAACCAAAACTCCAAATGAATACTTTACAAAATTACAGTAAATATTCAAAAACGTTTCCGTTTTGGCAAATATTGAAAATGAAAATAAGCATAATATGATCCGAATTTATTATATCTGTAACCGCAACTGTGAAAGAGCACGTCAGATGTATTTGTATGATATCCTGAAAAAAATTATATCGAAATTTGTTTGAATTTTGAGCACTCGAGAACCCTAGACATAACTACGAGAACGGTTGCATGAGGTGTTCTTTTTTCAATATCACCTCAAACAAGGCTGCAATGAAACAAAAAGGGATTTCCAAAATTTCGGTTTTTTTCAAATATTTCGAAAACTAATCATATTAGCCCGGATTTTTTAGAGGCATTATGTTGGTCCCCTGATTACGCAACTTTTCCCCCATTTAAGCTACTTACCGTTTCCGAGACCCGTGTAGTGAGAAGCGAATTTGCAACAGCCTGTACGTATTATGTTCTTCAAAACAATGTAAATGACGAATCCAATTTTTTTTATGGCATGATGTCAGTCAAAGTGTACTGGTTTTAATCATTCGACAGAATATCTTTTCAGTCGAACCTCAAATTTACGAACTGATTTAAATTACCGCAATCCACGTATCACACAATTCAACAATTATTATACATATATGTATAGAGTAATGTAAAATTATGTTTTACCACATAATTAATTTTTTAATGATTGCCAAAATTGCGAAAATTAGCTAACAATACGCGCGTCGGTTTCAATCACTGTACGAGTATGTTTATTAAAAATACCTACCAGAGAGAGTAACGTCACGTCGGCAGAGTAGCGGTCAGTTGATATTAAATCTTTAACTTTGGTTCTAATGATTAGATGAATTTACCGATTCCTTTCTGAAATATGAATATTTTTAGGTAATTCGAAGACAACACACTGAAGAGAAATATCTGGTCGTAGTAAAACATCGCAAAGGACATTTCTGCCGGTCAGCCTTCATCGTGGTCTGTTTAGTTGTGTGGGATGGAGTGGACAGAAACAATGCCGACGAGTTGTATTCCCTTCTCACAAATAAATTGAACAAGTTCGGACTACCGACCAAGAGAAGGTGCGCCACGAATGAACCCAGAACGTGCGCTTGTCAGGGTGTTAACGAGGAAACTTGTGGGGCCAGTTTTTCTTTCGGCTGTTCCTGGTCCATGTACTATAACGGCTGTAAATTCGCGAGATCGAAGGAAGTACGCAAGTTTCGTATGGCGGAGAAAAATGAGGAAATTGAGGTCAGTGGTTGCGAAAAAGTTCAAGCAAGAAATTAAAAGTTTCTATGTGTTTAATAGTTTAATAGATATGATTTTTTTGACTAGATGGAAGAGAAGTTGCAGTCGCTGGCTAACCATTTGAGCCCCATGTATCGCTGTTTGGCGCCGCAGTCCTTCAAAAACCAGTGTCTCTTCGAAAGCATCGCCTCGGATTGTCGACTGGGATTTGGATCTGGCCGCCCGTTTTCGGGAGTCACGGCCTGCGTGGATTTTTGCGCGCATGCACATAAGGATCTACACAATATGATCAACGGATGCACCGTAGTTGTTTCGCTAACGAAACACAGAACTTTGACAAAACCGGCCGACGAGCAACTTCATGTGTTGCCTTTGTATGTGGTAGACGATACTGATGAGTTCGGATCTAGGCAAACTCAGGAAGACAAAGTTGGGAGTGGAGCTATAGAAGTCCTGGAAAAGTAAGTAAAATGGTATAATTTCGCTTAGCAGGTATTCGTGGCAATTGCCAGTGGCTGAATAATTTCCAGCCTGGCTGCCATGTCGTCAACGTAGGCTTCTTGACGTTTTGAAAGACATATCGCACCCTTTTCCAGAAAAAACTCTGAAATTGGGGATAAAGTTGTTCGCCACACAAGCTGCCTAAAAATTGACAGGTACTTACCTCACTAACAGTCGGCTCTTCATCCACATTGACATTGAAAAATATAGACTAAAATAATATTTATTCAATTGAATAATAATAATAACGATTCCCAATTAAAATTTCAACCCGTGTTATCACAAAAATGTATCGACTTTTTTAAAATTTATTTTAAAAAAGAATGGCTACTGAAAACAGAAATTTTTGTAGATATCCCTGCGAAGTTCGGACATGTTCTGTCCCCGCCGAAACATGTCTGCGACGAAATCGGAAAAACCAAGACGGAAGTGGTAAAAGGGGCAGGAGGAAAAATTCTTCCAGACCGTCTTCTTCCTTAGGAAGCTCAACCTTAGGTATTCATTCACCCACAGCAAGTTACAACGGTAACACCGAAATACAAAATGGTCAAGTCTCAAGCACAGTATTAGATTATCCGAACAGGTCCACTTGGAGGTACGATAACTTCTCTGATAATAGTAATTTTTTGTATTCGAATAGAGCCGATCCATTAATGAATAGTAAAGGCAGTTTTCCTCACAGCCCGACCCCGACCCTTCCTCGTTTTTCGTTTTTCAAAACCCCCTTTTCCCCGTCTACGAATCCTTTCAGTACTCACTACTCCCAAAACGGTTACCTGCGAGATGATTACTATTCTTCTTCTAACTATTACTATACCCCTAGCATATTTCAGAGTCCCGCTACTCCCCATTTAAATCATTACGCTGCCGGTCAGTTCTCCAATTATCCATCTTACAGTGTATCCAATCCCTTCGATGACGCTTACACGAACAATACGCTACCATTCAGTGAAATCGACACGTACCAATTGAAGAATCCCAAACAGAAGCATGTCGACATATCGTATACCGACAATAAGGAGTGTTTCCAGGATTCCGAGATTGGCGGCGTGTCAATTGCATTGCAGCATGGCAGCGTTTTATTCGAGTGCGCTAAACATGAACTGCATGCTACCACTGCTCTTAAGAATCCTAACCGGCTGTCTCCCACCCGTATTTCTCTAGTCTTCTACCAGCATAGGGGCCTGAATAAGGCTCAGCATGGCTTGGACGAGTATACTGAAAAAATGAAACGTAAATTAGAGACCAGCGGCCAGTCGGACTTGGAGAAGTCCGACTCGGCCGAACCCGATCCCCGGCTAGAATGTAGCTTTGGTAGTTTAAGAGGCGACCGCGATTTTTGGCCTCGCGCACCCACACTACCCACAGTGTCTTTGACCACGATGTTTCCAATGTATCCCTGTATCGTTACAGGTCCTTTCCAAGAGCAGTTGTCCTCTTCGTTAGTAGGAGACAAACCCTGAGATGTTTTCGCTTCCAACGGTTATTATTTCTTGTCCTTATCGCAAGACTGCGCTTTCGCTAGTCTCAGATTTCCCAGTTGCGGACTCATCTCGTGACCCAGATGAGAAGAGATGAATTTTACGAAAGCTATATCTTCAAAATTCCTCGGGCGACACTTTAGGCTGCCGATTCAAAAGACTGAATTTTAAACTTAAGGTATAAAATTTGTGTGAGCCCTGAAAACTAGTTGGTGCAGATTTAATACTACTGTCAACCGATGAAAAACGTGGACTTGCTGCTTAGCTACAAATCTGGTTATTATGAATTTCAAAATTTTCAATCTCACTTAAACCGTTGCACTTACCGATATGTAAATAAAAGCAAGTTAGAATGATGGTAATATATTTCTACTCGAAAATCTGAATTAATATTTTTATGTAATTACGTGCCTCCTATTTCACAAACTGCTTTAAATATGAAGAAGTGAAACAATGTCATTGTTGTGACCGCAACGATTTAGATATACCTGGTAATAAGACAAATTTACATAGGTACTCTATATAAACCTACAACAAATATTACATAAGCGTCCATCTTTTTCGTTTTGTAACTGTAGCGTTAAAAGCTGTACCGTTAATTTCAGGGATTTATTTATAGAAACCGCAACAGGGTTAGCTAAATTAGTATGTTAAGTTTAAAATAATCATCTTTTACGCTAACATCTTTCATCTGGGCCATTCAATTGATACCCTTACTGCCTGCACCATGCGAAAAATTTAGACGGTAGTCTCGTACGTTTATTTGCATGGACTGTTCCGTTAAATTTGTCTATTTAGGTGGTAGGTACTAGGGCGCAACGGTCTAAATTTTTGTAAAATAACATTATCAGTGCCTCTATGATCTCAAAAATACGACACAGTTCACAAATTCACTCAGAGTACAAATGTAAATTCCGCGCTACCAAATGTCTGGTGGATTTATTTGAATCCACCACCGACCGACCATGAGAATTGGTCACAAGTCATAGAAGTATAATTTAGTATAGCTATTTATTGGTTAATTTATGTTTTAGCTAGTTTATATTGTAAATTTTGCGTTTTAAATGATTTTATTGACTGCTATTATTAAAGCTAATTGAATATTAATTATCAAATTTATTCAATTATCATCGAGTTGATTTTATATGTATATAATTGGAAAATATTTATAGGTGGTGAGTACAGTAATTTGTTATACTGGGTGTGGTTTTCGCGATGGATTTTTGCAGGAATTTTTGTCGTTCGATCGTTTTATAAGTGGGTAAAATTTATAAATTGTTCTGCGTGTAATAATCAAAGTAATATTTTAAATAAATTCCTTTCCAAGATAAGAAAATCAAAAACATATTCTGAAAATAATACAAAAAAAAACTTGCATAACTAGGTACTATCATATGCAAATATATAGAGTTCTCTCTTGCGATCGCGTTCATCTCAATAACTACGGAGCGAAAAAATTTGCAAATTTTATTCAATTCAACGATTTTGCGCTTCATTTCTTAAAAACCTCTGGGTATTTTTCTGTGGAATTTTGATATAAGATATCAAGACGTACGTATGTTATTGTGGTATTTTTTCACATATTTTTGGTACCAACAGTATATAAAAGATATACAATATGTATTTTTAATCTAATTTGTCGATAACTCTTAAAAATTACTGAAAGCACGTCTTGTTGATATTTCCAAATTATTTTCCTACAAATTTACAAATATCACGTAAACCAAACTGATAAGAATTTACGTACACATGAATTGCCACCAGTTTTAACAAACTACTAAAGCACTAACATGTTAAAGTACGATCTTGACCCGGGCTGGCTTGTCCGTCGATCGCCGTATGGAGTTTCCTCGCCCACAGTGTCCCTCCGATGTAACCGATAGTCGTCTTCATATTCACTTTTAAACCATTGAATTGTTTTAAAACATTTTTTAGAATAATATTTTTTTACTTCGAAGTTTAGGTTGCGAAAAGATGTTTTGCCTTATCTTTAACAATAACTGAATGCCACGTACAAAGAACATAAATCTTCAAATTTTATTAAAATTTCTCACAAATGGTGGTTTCCGAATAACTATTTGAATGTGGAAAATCGTGAAAATGTGTACCTACCTAAACAATTTTTTCGCTGCGCGGATTTTGAGATAAACGCAAAGTATGATGACGCAATTCTTTTGTATCTGATAGTAGATATTATGTATATTTCATTACCATATTTATATTTCATACTTTTGCCTAACTGACATTTAACATTTTCGAATATTTTTTATTTGGGAAGTACGCCCACGTACTCTGGCCGTCGCACACTAGAACGATTGTAAATTTCGTCCATCTGTTTCGATTTGTTAGACGCCGTTTTGTAAAGTTTGTGTACGGCAATAATTGTGTGAGAACGGCCCCAAAAGACCTGCAGAAGCCATTTTTTTTTAATGGATTGTAATATTGATGTGTTACCCTGAGAAAAAAAATCGACATGAGATTTTAGCGTGTTGTTTTTAATGTATATGTATAGAGATGGTTTATTTGAGGAGTTAGTCCACAGTTTTGCCTTTCATAACCGTGCTTCACGTGAAAAGGATCTATTTTTGCTACCGTGGGCATAGGGTAAAGATTTCATTATTCCTTGAAGAGAATTGTTTAACGCGCAGAAATGTCAAAGCCGAAGCGTAGGATTGTGCTTAGATTTGACGTTTCCGTTTCAGAGGCCATACAATGTTACTTGTACACGATATTTATTGTGTGCATTTATCTTTTGTAGTTTTAAAAATATATTTTTGACAAAAAGAGGAAAGATAATATTTATAAAAAGCCTACGAAATAAATTATTGTATAGTGTTAGTAATCCCAGTCACTTCTTCGAAAATAATAATTTATAAGGATGTTAATAATGAAGTAATTGATGCCAAATATATAAAATAGATATTAAAAAAAAAATTGTATTTATTATTTTATACAGTAAATTTCTTCCAGGCCAGTTTGGCAGCCACACTTTTTTATGTAATATAGGTTAGCCTTTTCTATAGCACCTTATTTATTTATTTATTAATTCGCCTGCTGTACGCTTTCTCTACGCAAAATTTACCAGTTCTCTCGCTTTACCCAAAAAATTCAAACTTAATAATAGATTACTGAATAAATGTTGTGCAATAAACAGTTGACAGTATTACCAATCTTTTGCGTAGGGAAGGCGTACAACAGAAATTTTATAATCTAAATCTAGTATTAAATAAAAAATGTATATATTTTTTACACAATTTTTAGTAAATGTATTAACGGAAAAACCAAAAAGCAATCTTTGAAATACTTGTACATAGCTCCTGAGTGACCCTTCCATCCAATTCAGTGTATCGCTGTCGCTCATCTCAAATGTCATCGAATCGAAACTCATCAAATCTCTTACAAAAAAAGCAATACTTATTAATAAAATTCATATCACGGTGGAAGTGTCTGCTCAAACTGAAAATGTCTTTTTATTATTATACATGAAGTAATCATTTGTATTTCTATAGTTATAGACTTTTTTAGTTTAGAATTAAGAGACAAAATTAATATGTGTATCGTCTTGTGAATACATTTATATAATATTATTTTGGCTTTCCTTTTTTTTCATTCATCGCCACCAGACATCCTCGAACCTGGCAAGAAGCGAATTTTCTTACGTGAAACATCTATGGGCTTAATACGAGACAATAATAATACATATATTCTATTTATAATAGAGTGAGTGGCTGAAATTGCAACAAATTTATTAAAACAATAGGTTTCTACAAACATTTTGATGTCACATGGAATTTGAATTCTTAACAGTGTCTTGTCCGTGAGTATTTGATTGTTTAATAATTGACAAATGGACAACATCAATATTTTGATAGGTACCCGACGTAACACAATTTTCAGATAAAATTTATTTATAACATGAATAAGGAAAATAATTATTGCACTAATAGAGATCCAAAACATTATGGTGTTCAACAAACAAATTCGTTTAAATGAAAAATCATCATTCATTCAATTCAAAATAGTGGGGGTCGCGTTATAAAATATATCTATGACGTCATCACTCACAAACAAATGACTATGTAGTAAGAATTGAATGTGAAGTCCAGTCATCAAGTCAATTATTTAGTGAATTTGTTACATAGTTCCATATTTAAACTTTACAATTAAAAAATAATGCGTTTTTATGACAACGTACATTCATCACATTCAAATTTTGCAACTTCTTACAACAAATTTATCAGTAGACTGTAGTTTAGTTATATGTGGCGTATTATAGTATGTGCGTGTATGTTCAATACACCGAAAAGAAATTGTATGACTTTATTCAAAACCGAATCTTGAATGTTCGTAGATTATAAAACCACGTCATGTAATTTGTTTCGTAGGAAGACAGATTTAAATTTTTAAAATTCCTTTTACATTACAATCGTTTTAGGCAAATGAATTTTTTACCATCGTTTATACGTACATAGGTATATACCGTACACATCCTCAAGGACTCGTTCGAAATTAACCAGATCTAAAAGATGTAAGTAAACTCTTGTAGGTATGAAATGTTTTTCGTTGTGATCATCGTGTGACGTGTTAGTCTTGAGACAACCGGAATGTCGGGTTTATTGCAATTTTAAACGAAGCCATTTAGCAAGAGACTTGTTTGGTAATTGGATATCCCGGCCTTTGTTTTCGGACAGTTAATGTTCGTACAGTTTTTAATGTAAACGTCTGTTAATCTTTGACATTTAAAGATCGATATTATATGCAACAGTGTAGGTTTTAAACGCTATATCCTGTAAATATAGTCGATGTATTTGTATATTTTTGGAGAGAACGAACAGTGTTACGTTTTGTTGCAGGCAGTAGTTGGTCATATTATTGTCTCTAAATTGGTAACTCTGGTCCTTATTAACTAGAAAATTAATCATAACTTTTTGTACATTTTCGATAAATTAAATAATTTAATACATTAAAGGTCATCAATTTAAGAATATTTTCTGTCGTGTATTATAATTCGTTGGCATTTTTCTCCTGAGAATGTAGTAAATATATAATATTTCGATAACTTGTAATAATTAAAAATGTCTAAAATAAATAAATTAAAGGTATTCTCAGCAAAGAAGGAAACATAATTTCAAAGATTGCAAGCATTCTTTGATTTAAGCAAAAAGAAAGATGCAATATCTTTGAAAAACATTCAAACATGTATACCAGGCTTGATCAGACACAGAAAATCACAATTAGAAGAATTAATGGATGGAATTAATCTGCTGCAAGCGATATAGATCTCGACTTTATACAGGGTGTCCCAGAATAACGTATACAACGGAACACCACAGATTTGTGGACTCAAAATAGGCTGATTTAGGCTAATTCACCTATAGGTATCGGAAATTGCTTCGTTTAGCCACTAGATGGCCTTAAAGTTAGTGAAAATTGTTTGAACTTTGTAAATAACTCGAATACTTATTAATCGATTTTGATTATTATTTTTGGAGTGTGAACTTTTGCTTTCCATCTACACATTTTGGTGTTATACAGTGTTTTTTAAAACTTACAACTCCTACAAAATTGATGTGTGGTGATAGTACCCGTTCATAACTTTCCTCTTTCGGGCAAAATGACTATTTTTTAATTTGATAGGTGATACCCTTCGGAAGTGTTTGTTTCTTGTAGAATTTTGATTAAATGAGCGGTTCGGGTACAAAAAAATATGTTTTAGATGTCTACATTATCTTGCCACCCATATTACAGTACTTAACAAAGTGCTGGTAGGCACTGATTTTGTAGGTTGACTATAATTTCAGTTTGATCTTTAAGTCACTATCTACCAATTCTTAATGAGTGTTTACTAGGATAAGGTTAAGGTATATACCACATGGTAGGTAGGTACTTCATTTTTTGATATGGATACACACACGACGAATTAGTTATTTACAACGTGCCTAATTTTATTGAAATATGTAACTCGCAAACGCAAAACAATCAAATACAATAAAAAATGCTAGAGATAAAAGTAACAAAATAGATGTTATCAAATTTTATACAACTTTTTATAAAAACTGTTCAAAATGACCAACGTTGTTTCTACAACAAAGATTAATTCTGCGAAGAAAGTTAAAGTACATACATAATGACTTTCATAGGTGTCCCTAAAAAAGTTTTCTGCTAAATGTAAAAAATTATATTAATTTGTATATAATGTGTAATTAATTATATGTCCACTTGGCCAACAACATATTTTAATTATTTATGTCCTCAAACAATTTTATTATATTCATGGTAAATTTCGTTTTCTTCCGCATCAAAAGGTGTCCAAAATGCCATTTTGTAATAATATTAGTAAACAAAATATCCCTCTTATTTCTCCCTTTCGCAATTGTAATATGAATGATTAATAGAATGGTGCCTATAATAAATTAAAATTATCTGAATCACACCAAATTCTGCATTGCTGCACTGCACTGCCAAGCGACTTATCGACAACTGAAATTTATGACGCAGTCGACCAGAGCAACTGTCAGTGAACACCGTTTGCCCGCACGCTCATTCTTCAACAGGGCGTATACATTCCTATCACCTGCAAAAACTTCCAAATGGTATCACCGGTCAGATAAAAATAGTTGTCATTATTGCCCAAAAGATGAAAAAGTTGTGAACGGATATTAGCACCATACATCAATTTTGTAGGAGTTGTAGGTTTTAAAAAACACTCTCTATAACACGAATATGTGTAAATTGAAGGCAAAAGTCGACACCCCAAAAATAATCAAAATCGATTAATAGGTATTCGAGTTATTTACAAAATTCAAAACTATTTTGAGTCCACGAGTCCGTGGTCTTCCGTTGTACACGTTATTCTGGTACACCCTGTATAATAATTACAAATCAAATATTTCAAAATATGAATGATATAAGCCTTGACATGAACAATGTAAAAGTGTGGTCCCGTGCCGCAGAGCGTTGCGCGTTGTCCTGCCAACCCAGGGGTTCGATCCCTGATACAGGTAAGGTTTTTTTTCAGCTAATATTTATTTCAAATAACGTGAACATATTTATTGTGATCATCAAAGAATGTAAATAGTAATTCTGAAGTTAGAAGAAATTTTAAACAGCGGTGAGGTTGTAAGGACGACGATACACTGTTGCCAAGTATGATGCTCAACGTAGGTATGGTTTTAGTTTAGTATATGTATAAATTATTATACATATTGCCAAAATGCGATGATTTGATTCTTAAAAAAGTTATTAAAAAGAGTATTATGATATACAACCGACGTGATTGCATTCAAGTTTTTTGAGTACCGGTTTTTCTCACCCTCACTTTCACTTTTTAAAACTCAAAAGCTTTTCTCTATATTTATAGAATATTTACAACTGTTCTTCCATATTTTTACGTTGTTGCCGTTACGAAGATTTGTTTTTTAGATTAACCTCAAAATACCAATGAATCTACTAAAATTGTGTAAATTCATTTGAAGTTTACAACTTAACCTGCACTAAGATAGGTGTTACTGATCAATTAGGTAAGTACTATGGTTAGTTACGACTCTAAAGCTGATTAGAGAATTACGTTTACTTTTAAAATGTCACATTTATTTTTCCAAATGCCAATAAAAATTACGATTTGAAAAGTATTGTAGATCCGTTAAGAAACAAAATTACTCTTCACTCCTCGCTTTTCGGTACCTACGTAATTGTAAACTGAAAAGGAGAAAGGGCAGAATACTTAATAAAACACAAAAACTTTGCACACTCCACTTTTCACTTGCCACTCTTCACTTTTCAACTTTTCACTCTCACTTTTCAAACTATAAAATTCGTAAAAAAGAAAATAGCCAAAAAGTGAAAAGTAAGGGCGAAAAAATGAAAAGTATTTTCAAAAACAGGCCCAAGTTCTTATCAAAATAAACTTAAAACTAACTTAAATACTTGATTTCCTTTTTTCTAACAAGCATGTTCTCTATCATCATGAAAAAAACTGTTCTAGACTCGTTTTACCTTGTTGAACAGACAACATGGAAACGTGGGAGATGGGCGAATTTCTGACTAATTATCCTCTTTCTCCTAGAAAAATGCATAACAATCTCTTACCGTGATAAATACTAATCTGCTTTTTCTGATGTTTTACTTCGGTGAATTTTATTAAAATATGAATGGGTGGTACGTGAACCATAAAACTGTATATAATTATTATGGACCGTAGCCAGCCACTGCGACGGGAATTAGCATTATTATTATTTTGTTTCACGTACCGGAGTGAACTAGAGGCATTTGCAATGCTAACACAAAGTTATACTACCGACACCTGTGTGCACATAAAGAATTTTATAGTGCGATAGCAGAAATTTATGCGTGGGATTTCTTCTACTTACGACTTGTTCATATGGAGCAAATGAAATAAGCACATTGGGAGTTAAACTTGCCGGATAAGCTTGTTCGTGAAATCACCCCATCAGGTGCCATTAAGCTATTTTGATATTTATTCTGGATATTTATTCATCTTACCGTATTTATTTATTTTTGTAAGCAGAGGCATTCACCTAACATTCTATCTTTATTGTGTTTTTTTTCTGGAAAAAAATATTAAAGACTAAAAATCCCAATTTCTTGTACTTTATTTATTTCAGTTCCAAAATTGGTTCTTGAAACCAAAAGTTAAGAGCATCTGGAGACACCCTGTGAGTATTAAATGTTGGAAAAAGACAGGTTGCACACATTGTATGTGTTTCTTTACTTACTGGCACAATGTATTGAGTTCTAAAGATAAAGGATATACCTAGAGGACACGCTGTAAACGTTGGCCAACTTAAATCAAACTTTTGTACATGTGAACACGAAGATACTTAATTTTTTAATGAGAATGACAGCATAAAATAAGGGAGTTTTATCTCTTTTCAACTCTAAATATTTGTGGACAATATATGTTGTGCCCCATTTTTGCACAAAATGATCGAAAATAAAAAAAAATACGAAAATATACACGTTATTGTGTTTCTTTCGTTATTTTCGTAACTAAAAAAGTTTGAAAAAAATGGAAAAAACCGAATTTTTTTAAAATTTTGCTTCCCCTTCAAAAAGACCACGGGTTGAATATTTTTTTTTTTTTGACAATCCTTAATCCTACCTGTCAACTCTTTTAGTTTGATTTATTCTTTTTAATTTGATCTGTTCAAGAGTTTTGTACGATATCGTCGTTCAAAACAAAAATGATCTTTTTGGCTTTTATAATTAATTACTCGGGGGGGAACCAATGATCGCATAAAAACTCTAAGCATCAAGGTTGTGAAAACTTCAAAGTATCCTCTATAAGAGGTTCTTATCGTTTGCCAGAAACTTGAGAAAATTGCGTACCTATCTAAGGATTTTCGCTAAAGTTGAAATAACTACAATAATTAATAGACTAACGATATTCTCTTTTTCTTAACCTCAAAGAAACCTTCAAAAGTTTAACCGCTGCGATTTTTCTTTCTCGTTATGATCCGAATGATTGAAATGAAATTGTCACTTTTGCTAAAAATCAATTAAATGATACATTTTTTTATTATTTTTTTTTAATTGAAAACATTTTTTTTCGAATATACAGAAATGTTACTTTTGAAGGGCTCTTTTTTTAAATTAAATCTCGTGGAAGCGATTTGCGCGACAGATAATTCATTAAGTATTCTAGATTTGCAGAAGAAAATACATGCAGCGACTGATTGGGGGATACCTATACAACTTTTTGCAATTAATTTTTAAATTTACAAAATTACATAAATTCTTTATAGTTGTTTATGTACTATAGTAGGATCGTATTCGATGCAAAGTAGAGCAAAAAGTTGTCGGTCTTTTATCAAAGGAAAATCGTGTCATCATTTTTAGGAGGCGTAAGATGAACCGTTTCAAATTTAAAATGAAATTCAATGTAAAATCTGAAATACCGCTGCATACGCACTGTGTTCTGGTAGTAGCTGTAGTCGCCCAGGTGCATCGAGTGTACGAACTGGTCGGTTATACGTCAAATACTAACCTGGCGAGCTTTGCCGTCAATTAGAGAGCGCTTCGAAAAAACAAGTAAACAACAGTGGCGTGTACAGAGGTAAAATGTAGTACATATGTGGAATTTAGGAAACAAATTGGATTTATAATAAATTACATTTAAAATAAATAGTTTATGAGAATAAAGGAATTTTTGTAGGAACAAGCGTACTTCATTGGTTCCCTTGACAGACAATGATTTATTACTTTGCATCGAATATGATCCTACTATACATATAGCTATTGTTCATATTGTAAAAAAAAATCGAAAATTTAAAACGACAAATATTCATAAAATCCTTTATGACGAAACAACGAAATGAAGCAAAATATCAGTTCTCTATAATTCAAAAAAGTTAAGTTTTAGTTAAATTTTCCCCGCCCAATTTTTCCGAAAATTTTATACTTCTGGTACACGGGAAAAACATTGTCCTGAAAATTCACACAGTTATTCCTAAGATCGTAACAGGAAAAAATTGTGAGAAAATTTGACATTTGCAATGTGATTCTTTTTTACAGTTGTAAAATTATTACCAACAAATTATAGATATTCTTAAATATTCAAAAAATATTGTATGAAAGTCTAATACAATTTATTCCTGTCACGATTTTAGGAACAATTGTGTGAATTTTTACAACAGTATTTTCTGTGTGTAGAGACCCTTCGTAATGGGCCCCTTGGCGTGTTGGGCCCCTCGCGGTTGCGAGTTCGCGAGCCTGGGCTGTCAGTCCAACTATGCCCTGCTAACCTGTGCTGCATCTCCGGCGAACAAAATGGCATCCGCTCTGCCCACGACCGCCGCAACGTCGGACTTTCGACCAAACCGGTTACCCGCACAACAGCCTTCTCTCAAAAATTAAACAAATTCCATCGGGCAGCACCTCGCTTTACCTCTACTCTACGACACGACTCCACGACGCGATTTCTTGAATCTTTAGTACTCGGTCTACCTTCGCTCGCTGAACAGATCCCAGTGGAGTCACGCGTTTGCTACTCGCGTCACATTTCGATTTTTAAGTGCTTTTCAGTGGCTATGGATTAACTGCGCCTATGGAATTTATAGAAACGTCCTCGTCTAAGTCTTTGGAGAGCTACGAAATAGGTGAGTTTTGCGAGCGCGAAGGATATAAAAAAAAATCTCCTGCGGCGAAATTTTTCGAGCGACAAACTTGTTTCGTTCATTTATTTTGCACAACCTGTGCCGATTTTTTAAAGCAACAGTAAGCTGGTTTGGTCTTATAGGGCACGCAGCTGTTTTGTTTGTACCTGAAAAATGTGTACCTATTTTGTTGCAAATTTCGATTTCCTTAGTCAAAAATTTCGTATATAAATCAACCTTTTAGGGTGCCTACTTGACTTTATATTATAATGTTCTAAAGAAGAATGTTTATTAAGACATTTACTTTGTATGCGTCTGATACAAGAATACAAATAGGTAGAGGTATATAGGTACTAACTTTGATTTTCCAGAAATCAAAAAATTCCACGTATTTATATTATGTATACCCAGACTTTTCATAACATCTAAAATAAATGCTTTTACAAAATTTATATTCATATTTGGGCAGGTTTGGAACCCGTTAAGATGAAAGTCGGCTGTGACAGGTTTTTCTTAGCAATAAACTTGTTTAAAGCGATTCATTTTTATGTCTGGAGGATCACGAACCGTTTCATTGAAATGTTCTTCACATTTGCCGGAATACTTTTTTTTAGAGTTTTCTTTAAGAAAAGTAAACGATATTACACGAACCACTTGATATACCTACTTTTTTATGCGACTAAAGAAGAGACATACTGTTTTTTTATTTCCTATATACTTAAGTACCTATTCGTTTAAAGCAATGAAAAAATTTATAGTACACGACGTTTCACTAGGTCTAGTCTTGGGCCTTAAAGTTTATGTCTAGATTTTAGTTCAGTTTCCGCCAGATGTGACAAATATTTATTTCGCAACAATGACATGGATACGTGTGTGGAATAAACGAGCGTCGTCACCTAGAATGGAGGTTAAAATAAGCGTACTTGAATAGACAGAAAAACAAGTTAGACCTCGGGAGATCTAAACGCTCGATCAGATCACCTACTTTTGAGGTTTTTGTGTGAAGGCAAGAAAGATGCGGGAACTATTAATTACCAAATTAATCGTAAATATTAAGAAATATTAAAGAATATGACCCTGTGATATGACGACGTTGAAAAGATAATTTTCAGAGACAGTAAAACACTAAGTAGGTACAAATAATGATGTCATCTTTGTTCAAACGGAAATGATGTACCTACCTATATCACGATCAAATTTTGTCAATGTTAATATTGTCACTAACACTTCTACAATCTCGTGCTAAATATAATTTGTCGAATGAGGGTAGAGGAACAGTGACTAACAAAAATGTTTACTTTTCCTTGAATTCTCTCTTGACTGTGGGTACCTCAAAAATTGTTTAAAATTCACATTGTTCAATCATACTCGTATTAAACTTAGACATGGAAAAACAGATTAGGACCTCAGTGTTAAGTTAATTCCTAATCTTATAGTTAAGAGAGGTGGCGATATTTTTACCAATCGCTTTTTTTTCTATTTTATGTTATAAAAAATGAATTCTTATTTTTAAATTCTTTACATTAAACCTGTAACGTTGAGAAAAGATAGATATTTGTAAGAGTGGTGCACCACACTTATTTCCAAGTTAATTTCTATTATTGCAGTTATGCGAAACATGGTATATTTTGAGTATAGGTAATAGGTATAAATGAAACAGTAGAAGTTAAATCACGAAACAATTTCTTTCGTAAGGTTGTAGCTAACAATGTATTTTATTACGATTAGCAATTATACCCACTTTTTAGTAAATGTTTAGATAGTAGGTAATCGCGTAGTTTTCGAATTAGAATAAAAAAGTTTTACATATAAACCGCAATAAATTAATAAAAAACGTCCATGTTTATTTTTGGATTTTACCGTCCGTAAAAAAAATAAAGAAGCATTCAAATGTCTAACAGAAGTTACATTTTTTCTGACAATAATTTCTAGCAACTACATTTTAAGAAATAAAATGTAATGATAAGCACGCGAACATTTAAGTATGACATGTTGATTTTTATATACCTATTCTAATCCCTTACGATTTACCATCATGATTTTCTCAACTTTGGTAAATAGGGGAAGCCAAAAATAGCATGTAAACGCGTTCCTCTCTCGATTTCCGGTTCATGCGAGCATTGGATTTCTTACACCGCAACGTGTGTGCGCATATTCATTTTGTTTTATTTACATAATATAAACAGTTAGGTATAAACTTGAAGCGCTACCTTGGTGTTTACCACAGCTCAAAATGGGCATAGGCGGCGAGGAACGAGGAATTATATACACTAGCAATAGCGAAATAAGGAAGCAAAGACATTACCTATACCTATTTATATAAATAAATTTTTTGTTGACTTGGACAACTAAAATGTAGTACCTACTAAAATACGATACGTAGGTATTTCGGTCCAGATTTGGCTAATCGTTTTTTCGTTGCTTTATAAAAAATATGTTCATGGCCATTACAAAAAGAAATTATATGTGTATGAAGATATCTAGGTAGATATCATGCCTTGGATAATGATTATGTATAATTATTGTACCCAGTTATTCCCACAACACAAATTTCTACAATTATGAAATGTGTGTCTTGGCATTGTGACTGACGTGTCAAAAGAATGGAAAATAGAGTAACAACAATGAGCCTGTCACTTAGTACAAATTGAACGACTGACTTTTTTGTGTGATAAGACATGGATGTTTCTATAAATTGGACAATTATTATAATAGATACCACCGCAAGAACCTATAATTTACTTGTGATTTATTTGAATTTTAGAATATGAGTGCCTAGTTGGTTCGCTATAAAAATTTATTTAAGTGGGCTTACACCACGCTACATACCTATATACTTTCTAAATGTATACGGTTTTTGCGGGACATAATATATTTATGTCGAATCATTACTATTCAATTTATTAAACATTACTAACAGCACTACGTAATTACTGAATTTGAAAAAGAAATCAAATTAAACTTACCATTTCTATATTTTGTAATATACCTACCGGCATACAGCGCTAAAAACATATGTCATTTTTGTGTTATATCTAGAATAAATCCTGAATACAACTTTATTTTTTAATTAAATCTCAATGGTCATTTTCACAGCTTATTTTTTATATTTACTAACATGTTTTGAAAGTATTATTTCAAGTCTCCAGTTTCCAGTCTAAACCAGATTTATAGCAGGCACGCATAATTAAAATATAATGGCTGCAAAATATTAATAACGTGAGAGATTTCGACGCCCTCGATAGATTATTATTTATGTCGACCGTTCTTCTTTGGTTTATATGAAATCATTAGATGTGAGAAACTCAGGTTTATTTCCATTATTTTCAACGAACAATAGATCTCCCTCAAGAAAATGCTTTCTCACATATACTCGATTCATCAAATCGGACCTATATTGTTGATATACATTATTTAATGATAGACTATTTGTTCTTTCTGACCCAAGCAGACGTTCTCACGATTTTTTTTCGATTTCTTCCCTATTTAGGGTAATTCGTCACTCTGTATGCAAAGGAGATACATCTCACTGAAGTAACAGTAAAGTGATTTCTTTTTTTAAATCGCCTTACTTCGGTTTTCGATTACGTACCTATTTATTATCTACCTTGTGGGCCGTAAAAAATCAATTTATAACATAATTAGTAAAAACATCGTCAGCATTTTGTAAATCATATGATAATATTTGTTAGATGAGTTTTTACAAAGAACACTTTCTAGTCACATCGTTTTGACCGTCTGTTTGCCGAACCGAATTGAAGTGTTTTCACTTTTTTTCTGACCGTTAATATACATTTCGCGACAAAGACCAAAAGAAAGAAATTAATTGTTACGAAAAAAAAAATAATGTTGAGATGTCTAACACCCCACCGGCTAAAGAAAGTTGGCAGCGCTGGTAAATACGAGCAGTTTTTGGGACAAATACATTATCACTTATTTGATATTACAATTAGTGGCAACAAGTGTAGCATATTTTCACATTTAAAAAAATTCTAAAATAATAATACACATAAGTATACTTATATCGAGTTTTATAAACATATTTACAAGTCATTCATATTTTCAAAACGCTTTAGGCCCAATTTTTGATGATTAGAGCAATTACAAAACCCTTTCTTTCGTTATGAAATCTCTCAAATCCACAGTAAATAAAAATAAATAAATAAATTGTGTATAATGATTATGTACTGGTAATTCTATTTATTTTTGAAAAAATTACTAAAGTAAACATATTTATATTATTGAAATCAGAAAAACCTACAAATTAAAAAAATTTACAAAAATACAGGAAACCCATTCAAAAACATAACATGCATATGCCATATATGCAATGTTACATTGTTTGTTTCAAAAATTAACTATTGTAATTCGAAAAAGACCACACAACTCTTATAAGAAATTTTTTGTAAAGTAAAAAAATTGGTAAAGAACCATTTATCACGTCATTCCAGTGATCGAGTGCGATAGCGAGATTTAAGTACGTTATTACGTAACATAAATGTGAGGTTACACATCTATTAATAAATATTTTCTAGGAACTTTTGCCGATGTTCATAAAAGCCCCGCCTTATCGACCTCATCAAATTGGAATTACACTTGTGAATAAAGTGATATTTAATTATCTTGAACAGGTGTGTCTTGAGCATTATTTATAGTACTGTGCAAAACCGTACTTATCTTATCAACTTCGACGTCACCTGTTACATGAGTGTTGCACAATAATGAAAAAGTAATATTAACGGTCGATAGAAGGAAGCACAAAAATTTGGCATTTGGGTAGGAAATTCTGGAAGGAAGCCTAAATAGTTGAAGATAGGTAGTTGAAGTGCGAACAGTGTGGAGATCGGCAGTAAGACGATCGGCGGGCAGTGTGTCAAAGAAGTGAAAAGTTAATTGTTTAAAGTGTTATTAGTTAGCAGGTAATATTCTTTAAGTACTTTGTTGTTAATTGTTCTATGTAATCTTATGATTGTGATGGTTATAGATGTTTCATGATAATAATT